CAAATCCTTTAGTCTTTGATTTCTTATTCCTATTTTTCTCTTCTTAAACTTCATTGTGTATATTTTTATTGTATTTCTACTTTTATTTATTTATTTTTATGTGTATGCGTGTATTGCCTGCATGTAGGTAAGTACACCCGTGTCATGCGATGCCCACGGAAGTCAGAAGAGGCTGTCAGATCCCGTGAGGCTGGGGTTATCAATAGTTGTTAGCAGCCATGTGGGTGCTGGGATTCGAACTGGGGTCTTCTGCAAGAACAACCAGTGTTCTTAACCACTGAGTTATCTCTCTAGCCCCCTGTATTTATATTTTTATGTAACCTGCTTCAAGTTATTTCTGGAAAAATATATTAAAATTTGCCACTCTTTGGAATAATAAAATAAATAACAAATAGATGATAGATAGATAAATAGATGATGATGATAGATAGATAGATGATAGATAGATAGATAGATAGATGATAGATAGATAGATAGATGATAGATAGATAGATAGATAGATAGATAGATGATAGATAGATGATAGAGGATGAATGGATGGAAGATAGATAGATTGATAGATAGATGATAGATAGATAGATAGATAGATAGATAGATAGATAGATAGATAGATAGATAAATGGAGTTACCTTAAAATAAGGACATTGCCTCTACTAGACACCAATTGCTTTGCTAAGTAGAATTCCAACTCCAGTAATGAATTCCCTCTTTTGAAACTCTTGACCAGGGGTCCCATAGACCCTCAAACACTACAGGCCATTACCTCTGCTCTTGGTTACACCACCACAACTTTATGGTAAGACCCTATTCCTGAAGATGCTACATGCACGAACTGTAGAAGAAACATGGAGAAGTCAAGCTGGTGCTGACTTCAAAGCTTCATACCACAGGTGAGCTTTAATGGGGATGGAAGGTACTACATAAGCTACCTGAAGAGAAAATTAGCATGAACCTTACCCAGCTCTGAAACCTGTGTGCTACAACAACTGGCCTGGCAAGATATGCCCACTGGTGCAATAGTCACATGAACAGTATAGGAGTAACCACTATTTTGTTTATTTATTTCTTATTTATTTATTTATTTATTTATTTATTTATTTATTTATTTATTTTTATTGCTTGCACATGTGGTCTTTTTGAGACACAGTCTCCCTGTAGCTCCAACTTCCTGGAACTCACTCTGTAGATCAGGCTGGCCTCGAACTCACAGAGGAGTCACCTGACTCTGCCTCCTGAGTGCTGGGATTCAATGCGTGTGCCACCATGCTTGGCACCAATTACTTTTTAATGGGATTAAAGTTCTGCTTCACAGGACAGAACTCATACCAAACAATGTTATCAGGCCTAAAAGCTGAGGCCAAAAAGCACACAGGCCATCAGAGAAAGTCTAATACAACTATTCTGCTAAATAGATATAATATTAATCTGATGTCTAATGATTAGTGTTGTACCCATAAATTAATGCATCTCTCAAGTTTCAACAAAGAACCCTTATACATCAGAAGGCCATTAGCACACAGAACCACATCTGGGCACTTTCAGAGAACAAGAGGTTGCAGACTGTTTTCCCCTGAATAGGACACCTGTCTGAAACTTCTGGCCCCCAAACTTGGAGATCATTGTAGAAGACAGGGCAGAAAGATTGTAAGATTCAGAAAAGTTGGATGAAACAGTTTTCCAACTCACAGCAGTGGTGGGAGGATGAACATGTCCCACAAAAGCTCAAGCAGATAGAAGCCCAACATAGACATGGGGAAGTGGGTCAGAAACCCCAACACTACCTGAGGAACTATTGGCAAAAGATGTCTGCTGAGAAGAAGAGATTCAGTCTGGTGTAAAGGTGACAGTCTTACTAGGTTTACCAGGCTGCAGTAGATGAACCTATAGCAAAGGGCATTTGAGGTCACAAACATGACTCCATAGGCTTTATATTTTTAGATGGTTAGTAAGGGGGTGTGGAGATATGAGAGAGCCTCTACATATGATCAAAATGTATCGTGAGAAATTTCCAAAACTTCAATTAAAAATTTAAAAAGTTCACACATGCCAAGAATAGTTTCTGATATAATAAGTACATATTTGACCATAATAATTAAGTGGTTCCTGCTAAAGGGACAAAGGTGGAATGGTATGCGTTCATGTCAAGCCACGGTTCAGGTTCATTCATGACCAGTGGAAGGCTGGTAGCCTAATAACTGCCCTGTGAACAAAAGAAGCCCCGCTCGTGAGTCTCTTCCCAATAATCCTCATCATGAGAGGTAGAAATGCAGTGTCTTTGAGAAGGCAGAACTTATAGGTGACCTGGCCTCATATTGAGTGAGCCACAGGCTCTCCTAGGACCATTTTAGTCACCTAAGCTACTGTTTGGTTCCTGAGCACCCACAATTCCCTGGGCATCTTCTCTGAATGTCTTGTTCCTAATGACAACCTCCTAATGCATGTGCTTCCTCCTGTTATCATGTGGTAGGAAGTCTTTGTTAGTAGCAGTAGGTCTGGGGTCAGTCTGCAGTAGCCTGAGGAATTTTCAGAGTCAGGTGAAGCTAAGATTCTTGACCAATAGAGCCCCAGAAAAGAATTCCAGTGAATCCGTATGAATGAGGGCTAAAGAGACAGGAAGAAAGTGTTTTAACAGATTTAAGCACACGGCGCATTAAAAAAAAAAATGGCTCTTAAGGAAAGGCTAGTTGTAGACTTCTCAAGAATTACACAACTGTCTTAGCAGTAGCTATGAGTATCAGAAGGTTTCAGTGGAACAATAATTTTCCCTATATGTTTTTACTCTTTCTGTACATGCTTATGGGATAGTTCCTGAGGTGAACAGGATAGGATTAAATTGATAAGATTAGATCATAGTTCACAAGTGTTGCCAAAGATAGTTAAGACATATTTTTACTGTAAAGGAAGTTTTAATTTTTGTTTGTTAGATTCCCAGAAAATGTTTACACCCTGAAAAAGGCTAAGTCCACCCATACCTGAAGGTCATTTACACTTATACTTTAGGCATAGGACATTGCTATCTTAGCATTCTTTTTCTCTGTACCCAGAGTATATCAATTTAGCTAGGCCACCTGACTAATGAGCCCAAGGATTCTGTCACAGCCCAGCCCCCCTTCCTACAGGGGTTACAGATGTGTGCTACCATGCTTCATATTTTCTTGGATGTGCTGGGCATCTGAAATCAGATTTTTCTGCTATTATAGCAGTCTAGAAACACCTGAGACTGTTTTAACACAAGTGATAGTTCTATCCATCAAAAAAGCAGTTAGCTTCCTTGCCCTGGCTGGAACCCCAGATTAAAGCTCATGCCCTACCAGGGAATGTCTCTTCTTTATGCATTGGAGCTCCTTGAAATAGAGTCCACAGTAAGGAAAAGGCATTACTTGGTGGACAGTTTATGTGGAATAGTAGAAGCACGTCTAGGGTAGTATGGAGTCTTTCAGACTTTGGAGTGTGTAGAGTTAGGTGGGAAGTGTAAGCACAGGAAGAGATGTAGTTCTCTCTAAAGATGGTGTGGTTATGGTGCAGAGACTGAAGTTGTATCTTCCTGTTACTGCAGGCTAGGCCCTAGAGTGCAGGGAAGGAGCAGCACAAAATGTCTGGTACACATGAGCTTCTTCCAAGCCATTACTCTGGTATCAAGCTTCATAGCTGCCTGTTTACTGGGAGAAAGGATCTGCCACCAGGGCCACATCAGGTGTTTAGTGGTTACCACAGCAACATTACTGTCCACTCTGACTTTGGTCCAGTGTCTTCACCTCTCTGAACTTCACTTTCTGACTTCTCTCATGAGGAACTGTGAAGACTCGCTGTTACAGTTGCTTTCTGCCTAACATTTGGTGGATAAAGAGGGGGCATGGGTTGATTTGCCATGGCTTGATTTGTGTGTGTGTGATGGGCTCCACCTGCAGCTTCCAGAAGCTAAGTACTATAATGCCATGGCACATATGGTAGGTTGAAAGGCCCTGGAGGCTCAGGCTTTGTTGGGAAGCAAGTATCTGAAATGTATTCAAATTCTGCTCGATATCCATTGCAGGTCTTATGGGTCTCCCACTGGATGTAAGCTCCATGAAGGCAAACATATGAGCATAGTATATTCAGAGCCTGTTCATTAGTTCTTTAAAATGTGACTACTACTCAAAAAACATTTCATCATTGTGGTGTTTTTCCTGTGATGTGCTAAGTCTCCTATCCTCCAGCTCTCATGTACTCTCTGAGACATTGCTTACCCTCTGTCCCTCAGCATCTGCTTCAGTGGGACAGTGTCTGTGACCTTCATGCTCTTCAGAGTTAGAGCAGAGCTGACAGAGCAGGATCCCATCCTTTTGACAGAAGATCCCCTTTGTCTCCTTGTGGGTCACACACATGTGCTCATCAGAGCCCAGGCACTTCCTGAGTCTGACTTGTAGTCTCTTCACAAGAAGGCTGATCTGAGGTCCTTCAAACACAGGGTAATGATCAGGAGGTTGGGCATGGTCCCAGGAAAGGCAGAGGCAGTTAATGGAGGGCCATGAATGTAGAAAGTCACAAAAATTACTATAAAAATGGGAAAGTGAAAGATGAAGGAAACAATAACATCTTTGTTCAATAAAAAGAAAATGCTCCTTTTCCTGAGGATGGAGTAGATTCTGCTATGTATTAATTTATTCACTGTTGATGAATAACCAAGGTTTATTTATGTCAATAGGGACTCAAACCAGGGTCCTGCGCATGCATGTAAAGGGCTTATCACTGAACCATATCACTAGTTAGAGTTTAGTAATTCTCACCAGTCTACAAAACAATGTTTAAGCATCCAAAACAAATGTCCCAGGTAGACTATATGAACCAAAGATGTAAAAAAAATCAGAGGCAACCATTCTATATTAAATGTTTAATTTCAATAAAATAGGTAACAATAAAGTAGGAAACACTTAACAGGCACTAAATACTACAGTATCGCTTAACTTCAACTGAGACAGGCTCCCTGAGCTATGGATGGCTTAGGGTACAGCTTGTCCCCGTCATATACAGCGAGCTGAGAAGAAAGGCCTAACAGGGAAATTGAAGGAGCCAGCAGGGTACCTCCATATGAGGGAATTCTTGTCTACATTGAAGAAACTCACACTTCCAAGGTCACAATCAAGGAACACCCCAACCTTGCCCAGTGGTATCTCCACATAGTGAGTAAGTGATGGGGAGGTAGTCAGGAGGCTGTAATGGTCGCGGTCTTTCACAAATACAAGAAGGAACATGTCCTTCAGTTCAATCAGTGGGCCACACCTAATTAACTGGGAATCTTTACAGATCCCTATAGCCCAGTCCCAAGAGTCGGTTGCATCCAGCTTCCAGTAATGTTTCCCATAGCTGAATCTCTGTGTTCCCCAGGAGACATAGTAGGCTTCATCAGAATTCACAGATGTGTCCTGGAGGTGATGTTTAAAGCTGAGTCGCTTCACATAATTAAATAGGCTCATCTTGTAATGGATCATGATTATAGTTTCCAAAGAAATGTTCACTGTGGAGAGAATAAAATATTTCACTTAAAATAAAATTTACATTTCTTAGATGAGAGATGGAAACACTGAATTTACAAAAGTAGGGTCCACATATAGTGGAATAAACCTGACAAGAATATACTGTGTTAAAGGACATGTGCCCTGCAACCAAGTCCATATCATTTCCTGGTTTCATTGCTCTCTTCATAAGATGTTACACATAAGATGTCAGTGGTGACCATTATCCCAGTTGATGTTATGATTTCTATCTCATTAATAATATTGATAAATAAGAAGGAAAAGCTGAAGGTGCATATTCAGAAGTGTTTCCCTAGCAGTGATTGACTCTTGTTAATTTCTGGCTGTCTAAGAGCTATCATTGGTTGTGAAGTTTTAATTCAGATGTTTATCTACCAGGGAAATAAAGACAATGACTTATCTACCACCTTGTTTTACTATAGTTCTCATGATATATTACTTTGTGCATTTAATCATTTTATGCTTTTTGTTTTGTTTTCTGAGACAGGATCTTGCCAGTGAGTCATGGCTCACATGGCACTTAATATATAGAAAATGCTGACCTCGAATTCATAAAAACATCCTCCTGCCTCTGCTTCCACAGCTCTGGGATTACCAGTGTGCAGAAGAATATCTGGTTTATATTTTGATGTTTTAATTTTTTATTTACTTTTATTTGGTGCATATGAGTGTTTTGCCTACACATATATAAGTGTACCCATGTAATACAATGCCTGGAGAGGCTGGAAGAGGGCACTGAATCCCCTGGAATTGCAGTTACAACTGTTATTAGCCACCATGTGGATGGTGAGAACTGAACCCAGATCTTCTGCAAGAGCAGCCAGGATTCTTTATCACTGAGTCATGTCTTCTGCCAGTACCTGTTGTATTTTTAATCTATGTAATATAATACACTTTAATAATTTATTTGCTAATATATTTAAGGAAATTATTTAATGATCTCCATTACTTGGCTTTCTGAATTTAAACTATAATGTTCTGAATTAATTTATAATTATCTATGTGTAATTGCACCACAGATATATTTTCAGCCTGAATCACATTATTGTGAGTGTTTATGATGTTTTTCTTGATTGCAGTTACCATGTTAATAAATATTACCACAAATGTGGAATTCTCTGGCATATGCTCCTGTCAAATTAAAGAGTCTAATGAGTAGGAAAGACACCCCATGGTTTAAGGGCACTCTCTGGTTATTCCAGCAGTGCTAATACTCACCTCGGTAGTGGTTAAACCTATGGATCAGACCAGTGATGGGTTTGGCACTGAGTGCTGGTTTCACAGGCTGGGGCATGCACCGTTGCACGGACTCACTCCTACAAGTAGAAGAAATTGATCTGCCTGGTGCAAAAGATGCCATCACAGTATCTAAGTTCAATTCCTGAAACCCACAGAGAAAATTCACATCCCAAATATCTCCCCTGAACTCCGTAAATGCATCATTGCACCTACACGTGTCTACATTCACACTCACTCCCAACAACACACACATACACAACCACAGTTATAATGGTAATAATAATAAATTTATTAAAAATGAAATAACTACTAAGCTCAGCAGGTTTCCTGATAGGGGGGTGAAACTCCAGGATCAGGAGACAGGACACATTCTTTACAATGGCCTTTCTGACTGATTTTCTTTCCTGCTACCAACCCAGTTCTCAATGCTACCTGCCTCTTTCATCTACTACCTGGGAAAAACACGGCCCATGAGCCTCCACCAGTGTTGATAAGTTTACAATTATAGACTTCAGCATCGATCCCCAAAGCATATAATACTTCAGTTACACATAGAAAGAAAAGAAAATTTGGGGAAAGGGGGAACAGAAATCACATATAAAAACATCCAAGTATGTTTGGTATGAAGGAGCAGGCCTATACTCCCAGTACTCTAGAGGAAGGCAGATAGTTGTGTTATCAAGGATAACCTGGTCTACATAGTGAGTTTCCTGGTGAGGCAGGGCTATCCAGGAGACCATGCCTAAACATAACATAAAAATACCCCAATATATGTCCACACAACAATTGAGTATTATCTTTCAAGTATAACTTCAATTCCCTAAAGAACAAGGTCTCTTTCATAACTCTTATGGTACCTTAGCTTGTATTGATGTCTAAACTCACCTTGTCAATATCTCTCCCAGATCCTGCAAAAAAAAATGGGAAAAAAGGTTAGATCTTTCCAAATGTCACCTTGTTTGTTTGTTTGATGAAAGTTCAAATAATATAAATTGAAATATACCAACCCGACCCACCCTATAAAATTTTTTATCTCTCAGAATGTCAGTCAAGCATGTATACAGAATGTTAATCTTATTTAATGAGAATTCTGAGAGTAATAGAAGGGTGACAAAGCCACGGATGACGGTTCAAGGCTTCAAACCCACAGCTGTCCCCACAGTGGTTTTCCTTGGGCTTTCCCATAAAGGGTAGTATAACCTTATTTAAGGGTGAGTCCAACCATGGTTTCAGCCCTGTGCTGTGTCATGTCAGTAATTACAGCATTTGAGAGGCTGAGGCAGGCATATTATTGTCAGTTGGAGCCTATCGTGAACCACAAAATGAAACCCTGTTTTCAAAATCCCACCTCCTAATGAACTCTAAAAAAGGCTTACAAAAAAGTGAAGGATATATAAACAGCTTTCCCCAAATCCCTGCATAATACCTGAGAAAAGACAAAAATGGCATTCTAGTAAAAAAGGAAGATTTACTATTTAGCTTTTAGAGAGGCAAACTCAAAAAAGAAAAATAAAAAGGAAATATCTGAAGAATCTCCTCATTCAATTCCATCAACTTTGAACTCTTTGATGATCAGGGTAGAATTTAGAATATTCAGAATATTTCTAAAAAGGAAACACACCCACCTCATATTGTGGGAAATATGAAAACCTATCTTTGGAATCCAGTCACAGAGTCACAGTTGTGGTCCCCAGTTAACAGTCATTTCATGCATCTTTCCATGCTCACCTGCAGCAGCTCCAGATGTGTTCCATGGTACATCGCCACCAGTTTCTGATACGTATCTCTTAGCTGATTCCTCTTTTGGACCATCATGGCTTCACTTTTTCTTAGCTTCTCCAAAATCCACTGGCTTTCATTTTTCAGATTCTTTATGTTTTGTTTTTCTTCCTCGAATAAGATTGGATGCAACTTCCTGTATTCTGTCCTGATCATTACTTCATGTAGAAACACATAGCCCTGCAGAGACATAGACATTCTAGATCACATTTGAGGATTTTTTCCCTTCTCATTTAACACTCATTCCTTTGACTGATACTTTCTGTCAGTATGCTGCATGCATTCTAAATTAATGGTCGTAGTTTTCATAAAATTTAAATTTATTCTTTGATCTATTTTGTTTCCAATTTAGTAACTATGTGAAGAACCAAATCCATGCTTTTCTCGAAACACTTTCCTCTATTTTATAAGTTCCTGCATCATATGAAGTAAATTTTTGATTGATATTTTATCTGATGACACAACTATGAAAATCTACAAACCAGCAATTAGAATTCAAGGTGTATTAGTAAAGGATAATGTACACTGTGCTGGACTGTCAGATAATCAGTCAGTTCCAAACTTCCCTACCACTCATCCTGACCATTGACTCTGCTCGTGAACTAGACTATTACATTCAGGATTGGAGGCTATCAGAAAACAACTTTCTGTTCACAATCCTCCATGTTCACAATCACAACTCCCTGTTCACAATCCTCCAGTCACGAATAATCAAGTTTCCAAAATGTCTATCTCAAGCAGATTCTAAGCATCACAGTGTCCTACCCACCATCCAAGCCAAGACTGTTCTTCTCTCTTCAGTTAGATTCCTCTGATTTTCTTGGATCTTTTTCCATAAGTGTGTCATTTGCTCTCGAAGTATCTCCTATAACAAACAATAAATATCAAATCCAGAGAAATAAAGGAAACCAGGTTTCAGACCTACACTGACAGAATCAGGAGGCATAAAAGAAAATTACTTTAGGGAGACTGTGGATCATGTTTTAGCAACTTCTGTAATTTTTAATATTTTATTTATGATTTATTTTATGAGTATACTGTCTCCAGGTATGTTAAGTGTAACCATGCCATGCAATGCCCTGGGATGTCAGAAGATGGTGTTGGATTCCCTGGAACTGGAGTTATGGATGGTTGCTATCCACCACTTCATGCTGGCAATGGAACCCAGGGCCTCTGCAAGAGCAGCCAGTGCTCTTAAAAGCTAAGCCTTCTCTCCAGCCCCAACTTTTGTATTTTTAATGTAAGAAAATTTAGGACTACAGAATAAAAAATTCAATCTAAATTTTGTTCATAATAAAATGTTAAGAGGCATGGCTACTTTCAAAATGGTTTGGTAATTTGAATCTTACTATGTGTCCCTAGATGGTTCTCTACCCTCTCCTGCTAATTCCAATGCACTTTCCACAATATATTTTCCAGTGTTAGAAAACAAATATCCTCTACAGGTGCCTTCAGCATCAGTGTCTTGAGTAGTTTAAGGAAGGCATAATAGAAACAGAAATGAGCATTAATGGCTATAAGCTTTGAGAAGGCAAGGACGCTTGGGCATTCTAGTCATAGCTTCTCCATCAGATGTATAAAAAGTGCCCACCACTCAGAAAATAATGGATTGATCATCATGATAAGTATCTTCCCTGTGATCTACTAAGTCTCCCACCCTCCAGGCTTCATGTCCTCTCAGAGGCACCACTTACCCTCTGCTCCTCAACAGCTGCTTCAATGGAACAGAGAGTGTGACTTTCATGCTCCTCAGAGTTGGAGCAGAGCTGACAGAGCAGGATCCTGTCCTCTTGACAAAAGATCCTCTTTGTCTCCTTGTGGGTCACACACAAGTTCTCCTCAGAGCTCAGGCACTTTCTGAGGCTGTCTTGTCTGGCAATGGACACTAGCTCTTTCAGAAGATGGTCGGTTCTGAGGTCCTTCTGCTGGGATGGCTCCCTACACACAGGGCACTGGGCAGGACGTTCGATGTCTTCCCAGGAGAGGCAGAGGCAGGGCCCACAGAAGCTGTGTCCACATCTTATGGTGACTGGGTCTGTTAAGCAGTTCAGGCAGATGAGGCATGTGAGTTCTTCCTGGAAGGCTTGTGACATATCACACTCCATTTCTGAGGGAGGAGAGGCAGAATTACTCAGTATTCTACTCCAGAGAGACAAACCTCTGCCCCTGCTAGATGCATTTGTCCCAGAGTTATCAGCTCAAGCTGGTGCCTTGCTCCTTTCTTTTGTTCAGTTAATTGACAAAAATAAAGTGGATTCTCCCTGTCGCTGAGCCAGACTCTTCTATTAGAAACCCCCTTCACTGCACAACTATGCTGGCAGAACACAAATTTCCTTTGCTGTCTCAGAATATTCTTCACATATTTCCTTAGTGAATGCTTGGGACTGATTTCTGGCTTTTAATGATTTTAATGTTTTATATATTTACTTCTTTTTTAAATGTATGAATGTTTTGCCTGCATGCAAGTTAACTGAACCCATGTCATGCAACTCCTTGGAGCCCAGAAGAAGCCGTTGGATCCGCTGGAACTGGAGTTACATTACGTGTCATGTGAGTGCTGGAAACTGAACCAGGGACCTCTGCAAGAATAGCCATTGCTCTTAACTGCTGAGCCATACCTCCAGCCCTTGACTTTTAACATTTTATCCTTTAGATTTGCACTGCCAACATCTCTGGTGAGCTTGATGCCTATATTATTTCATCTCTTTTGTTGCTACAAAACTTCTGACATGAATAAGTTCAAAAAGAATAGTCACAGTTCAAAGATACCATCCACCATGATGGGTAGTGAAGCTGGTGATCTTATTGCATATGTGATGAGGTACAGAAAGCATTGAAGGCCCACTGCACAGCTACTTATGTTTGCAAATTCTGAGACCTTTGTCCCACTGCATTTTCCCTAATCTGGATAAGCCCCCCATGTGCACAAGGGTTTCCATGCTAATTCTAAATCCCACCAAGTGGAAAATAAATATTAATCTTCCCAGGATCATTCTCTGTTCCAACTCCTCTGCTGTCCAAATAGGAAACTCCAACTTTGAGTTTATCAGATGATACTTTGAGGCCCAAATTAAACTCTCATGTCTATTGGACACTTAATCAGCAGGTGTCAATTTCCTATCCATTTTCATATCTATGCAAAAAAGCATGTTTGTATTGAGCCAGCTTTCTTTCAGATACCGAGAACTTTGGGCTTTGACACAAATGGATTCAAATGGCTCCAGCTGGTGGTTCATAAAAACCCTGAAAACTGAGAATGACACTCATTCCCAGTGAGAGCTGAGCAGACAGGTGCCCAAGCTTCACCTCCCTTGTCTCCTTTGATGGTCCTTTCATCTCATCTGATACGCAGCTCCTTGTCCTCAGAACCACCACCCCAACATAATTTTGAGCATATAAGAAGTAATGAAAATGAAGCTCTGCACTGCAACATTGCCTCGGGTTGTCATCAGAAGAGAAAAACTTTATGACATTTTTCAACATCATGTATGCCCTCCAGCCAAACTAAGCTGAGAATATTAGGTCCAGTCATTGCTACCAAGATGTTAACTTTTACAAAGCATTTATTCAAACTATGAAAAGATATTACTTTGTAATTCACAGCAGAAAATAACACCCTTTAAAATCCTTATTTTGTTGGAAATTTCAGTATGCATTTCTATACAAACCAAATACAAAAACAAATCTCTAAATTTTGGTATTTCCTTCAAACCATTCAATGCAATCTGTAACTACATGTTATAATTTCTCTTCTGGCTCTCAGAGCTCTCTCTCTCTCTCTCTCTCTCTCTCTCTCTCTCTGTGTGTGTGTGTGTGTGTGTGTGTGTTATAAGCACTCTTAGTAGAGGATAATGCACATATGCAGCACCTACAGAATTCAATGCTCCTAAATTATTTAAGGAGTGACAAATGCTCAAAATTAAAAACTATCTTGTAACTCCTACAGATTTCCTATAATACAGTCCACTAAGGAGTACATGAACACTAACCTAATTAATCCTGTTTAATTCCATAGTATACACCAACACCAAGGGAACAAATTGGAATAGAATCAATTTTGCTACTTAATGGAAACATCATTTCTTAGAAAACCCTCAGTTTGCTAATAAACTCCAAAGAGGAAAGTTTGCTTCATCTTGGGGAAGTAGCTAGATTTATTCTTGGATATATTGTCTACTCACCTGAGGAATGCATCTTTAGGCTCACCAACTTTTGCTAGGAGAAAATAATGGTCAAGGTCTGGATTCAGCAATCTTCTGAGCCTGAAGGTTTGGAAACACTCTGGTCTGAAGAGCAGTGAATGGCGCCCATGGACTGTCCTTATATTGCATATGAAGACCACACCCATTTCCAAAATTGATTGAATTTCCTGGGGTTTCCTTCCAGCAGGTGAGAGTTGTCCAGACTCAGGGACATCTGGGTGTGGCAACTCACACCTTTAATTGCTTAATCCTCCCTATTTGGAAGCAAGGAGGGTTGGAAAATTTTGAGTTCCAGGCAAGCCTAAGTTGCACAATTCCTGGAAAACTGCTAATCGTCAGTTTGCATTGGAAACCCAAAGAAGTGTTTCTAATATCAGTGAAAGAATGTAATAGCAATGCAATCAATGAGCTGGCCAGCAAGAGTGAAGGCAAACAGGCAAAAAATCAAAGTTTCCTTCTTTCTTCCAAGTCCTTTAATCTGGGCTACCACCAGAAGGTCCTACTCGCATTTATGATGGGTCTTCCTACTTCAAATAACCTCATCAAGAAAGTTCCTTATATGAGTGGCAATGGCTTAAACTTTAGTTGATTTCAGATTCTGATAAATTGACCATCAAGTCTATCCACCTAGTATCCAAGGAGATGTTTTTCCTTCCATAGTTTCTCAATAGGATTTTAGAAAGCAATACCAAGAATTTTTAAAAATCACATTGTGGAACTGTACACTCACTATGCAAATATAAGCCTTAGTTTCTACAGGAATCATCAACTGAAGGTGTGTTTTTGCTGAATGTAGCTAAGTGCATCACCCATGTCAATCTGTGGAGGCCAGCAGAGTGACAGACAGCCTGGAAATTGAGTTATAGAAGGTTCTTAGCTACTATGTGGGTGCTGGGAACTGAATTTGGGTCCTCTGCAAAAGCAGCCTATGCTCTTAATCACTGAGCCATCTCTCCAGCCTCACAATGATGAAATTTTGTTCTTCAATTAGCGGCTTAAAGTTTTGTTAAACGGGAGACAGATAATTCTCAACTTTGTAAAATAGCACAGCCACCTTTGCACACGTTGTGATGTTTTGTATAACTCACTCCTCTATCACCAGTATTCGTCATTTTTATGCACAAACATGATCAATATTCTAAGTTAGCAATATTCTAGCTCAGGTAGCCTACAGTATGACTAAATGCTGCAATAAAATAGTTTGCAATTTTCTTTTGTGTTAAGTATACTTAAAGTTTTCTCTCTTAGCAAATATTTAGTCTAGTATCCTTTAAATATGCACCGCAGGGTAACTGTGATTTATTTTGTTTAAAATTGTATTAGGCATATTGAATCACACTGTTGTAGTTGGTAAAAGAATGTTCATTCTCCTTACTTCATACAGTTGCATGGCATAGATAAAGACCAATTCGTTTTTCCATTTACTGTTGAGGTGTGTCAACAGCTCAAGGTTTGGGCTCTGAGTCATTATGAAGTGAGCATCATGGTTCTTAATTTCTATTAAGGACAGCTCATTGCTGTTCATAAATGTTTACTAGTGAAAAGTGTAAGCCCTGCAAATCTCTTTCAGCAGGTTTGTCAGAGGTCATTTCAGTTGACACTCCAAGCAGGCTTCAGCAAACTTCAGTTACTCTACATCTTTCTCATTATATAATCTAATGTGGCTTTAAATTTAGTTTTTTGTTTCCAGAGGCCATGGGTTGTAAGCTTTAGTTTCATATTGCATTAGTCTGATTTGACAGTTAAGAAGTTTTCCAAATCTGGAAGTGGTCGTTAGTGTTGTCAGCTTGACACAGTCTAGACTCACCTGGGATACGGGCCTCCGGGTCTGCCAGTGGGGATTATCTTGATTACATTAATTGATGTGAAAAGACCCACCTTAAATGTGGGTGGAGGAATCTCTGAGCAAGGGATCCTGAAATGTGTACATGAACAAAGAGATCTGAGCCGAACCTTCATTGGCCTCAGTTTACTTCATTCTTTTTTCTTTCTCTTTCTTTTTTTTTTTTTTGAGACAGGATCTCCATGTAGCACTAACCTGCAACTCACTACGTAAACCAGACTATCCTTGATCTCACAGAGATCTGCCTGCCTCTGCCCCCTCAGTGCTGGGATCCCTCAGTGCTGGGATTAAAGGCGTGTGCCACCTTGTATAGCCTTCCTTCCTTCCTTCTTATTTTTAAAAATACAATTCTCTTTATTTAAAATAATTCACATCCTCAGGAACATATAGAAAACTGTCATTAGTTTAACTTTAAATCTAATATATTTCTTTGTACTCCACTTTTTAAAATATTTTATTATTTTTGTTATGTGTATGAGTATATTGTCTGCATGTGTATATAAGTACACCCATGTCATGCAGTCCCCCACAGAGGTCAGAAGAAAGTGTCAGATCCCCCTGGAACTGGGAGTTACAAATGATTGCTAGCTGACATGTGGGTGCTGGGAATTGAACCTGGGTCCTCTGGAAGAGTAGTCAGTGCTCTTAACCTCTGAGCCATCTCTCCACCTCCAATGCTTCACATCTTTGAACTTAAAAGTATTATGCTGTTTTGTTGGTTTTAAATAATGCCCAATGATTTGTAGTTAAGAGTAGCTATTATTTTAGAGTCACATATTACAAGTAAAACTCACCAAAGAAACAAGAGTATAAAAGAAAACCCACATCACCTAGTCATCCTTAAGGGGAAAAAAATCTGCATTGAAAAACCCAAAGTCCACGTCTTTGCCCCTCTTTTATATTCCATCTCTCCAGCTGGTCAACGTGTTATTCTTAAACCAACAAACAATAGTGGGGCTTTATAGGTACAAAACTAAACAAACAACTTCAGCAAGATTACACATAAGAATCTCAACACAAGTTCAAATTCTATCATTATTTACAAAACGGTCTGATAACA